AGCTGATTTCCTTAGACAGAAAACTTAATGAAATCAGCTGATTGCAACAACACATTTCAGGACACAGTCTTCCAGGAGGGGCATGTTGCAAAATTAGATATTTGTTTGCATTTTTTTTGTTGACTCAACAGAAAACCCTCACACTGAGCTTTGTTATTTATGATTTATTTGTGAGAAAGGTGATTATATTCTGAACCTAAAAAAGAAGCCAATGAATAGGAGCTAAGATAGGAGAAATATGATCTATTTTTAATTTTCATCAGAACTCTGACTGCAGCATTTCGGATCAGCTGAAGGCTTTTAACTACAGTATGAGGACTTCCTGATAGTAAAGAATTACAATAGTCCAACAAATGCATGGACTAGTTTTTCAGCATCAACCCTGGACAGGATATTTCTAACATGCGCAATAACAATGACTTTGTTTTTAATTTATTGGTATTTTTTTTTATTTTATTTTATTTTTTTAGATCAAAGCATGTTTAGATCATGGTTTTACTCTTTAAGATCTTCGGTCTATTCTACTTGGGTCATCTAGCTTCTGTGTAGGTGATATATTGATTCTTCGTATTAGACAGTCACCATGCTAATGAATTAAACTGAAAATGTGGTTAATCAAAATAGATGATGCTCTTTCACTTTTTCTTTACTTTGTGCTAGTTTTTACATATAGGTCTATGCTGTTTGCTTTTTTTTTTTTACCCTTGATTCATGCAATACCATTTACATGTTTACTCACTAAGTTAATCTTTTATCTATTTTCTTTCAGATTTTCTGATTATTGATGTCATTTTTTATTACGTCCATGAATCTGAGGACCTGTTAATACATTAGTAATTAATCTAAATCAGAGGGTGCATTGAAAGGCCTACAGTTGCTGTGCAAATGAAAATCTTCTATCATGCCATATATGCCAATTTAATACAAGGAAATGTTAATTATTTTGGTAATTTCATTTTTTTGATTGTTTTTATTTCAGCTGAAAAACTGAAATTATAGTTGTCTCTTTTTAAAGTTGTATTAAAAATCCTCGTTTATATATATGCCACATTCTGTTTCTGCATTCATATTCTGATATTTTGTGGCTGAATATTTTGGGTCTTCAGTAAATTTAAGTCACAATTAGAAATAAACACTTGAACTCTAAAAATCTGTGGTATATATTACTTCAATTAAATCTTTAGATGTGTTCAAATAAATTTCTAAAAGAAACCTACTTTTCATTTTTATTCTGATTTATTTATATTCCGCTGTAGAAATACATATGTTCAACATTTCTATGTAACAAGTGAATTTGATCCAAAGTCTACATGCAAGCAAACACTGAGCTTTTAGCAAACATGTTCTCTGAACCTCTGTGATGCAATGATGAGTGGGTTTTAGTCTTATCATTTAATCATTTCTAATGTAAAACATCTTCAATAATTAGATAAATTAAACTAAAATGGCAATTTTCAGAACAATTTACAGCCATATCCTTATATTATTGTGGGTAACCTTGAAGGCACACTATTGTCTGTTTGATGTAAAAAATGACTGAACAGTATGGATTTGTGCCAGACAAAGCTGAAGTTCCAAAGGTTAGTGTCCTTGTATGAGATTTTACAAAAAGTGAGGTTTCTCTGCACCTCAGCACAGTCTCATTTTGTCTTCCTGGACATTGGCTGGTGCTGTGCCATCATGAAACTGAAGCTGCTTCTCCTTTGCCTCTTCTTGGCTGTGTTCCTTATACCCACAGAAGTGAGTATTCCCTGCATATATTATCCTGAAATAAGCCAGTATGTAAATGCTTTTCTCTTATTTACAACTACCGGTAAGCAATACTTATGAGGTAATTCTGTCGTACTTTTCAGAAATTCAGTTAGTTTTAGTCTATTAAGTTTGTTCATTTTAAAACCATTTAATCAGGTAAGTTAAATTATTTATCAAATGTTTTAACAAATTTCTGTAAATTTGGTTTTAATCAGTCAAAACCAAAAAACAAAGACAAAGACAAAGACAAACATGGAGACAGACGTGGACCTCCAAGACACCGTGGGCGCGAAAAAAAAAAGCATAAGTTTGAAGACATAATTGAAGGTCAGAGTTTATCTTTATTGTAAGATTCAGACTTTATTTAAAAAAAAACCCAAAACAAATATTGTTTTTCAAATCTGAATTAACATTTTTTAGATATCTTCTTCAGCGATGGAAGTGAAGATGATGAGGATGATGAGACTTTGAATTTAGACTGGCTTTTTGAACTTCAGGATTTGGATGGTATGAGGATGTTTTCCAACTGATTTTTTTAAATGAAGTTGTGTCATGGTAGATAGTCTATTTTAGTACCATTACACCTCCTTTCATCTTATTTGTCAGGCGAGTGTACACCCAATCCCTGCCTCAACAATGGTGTGTGCAAAGAAAAACGCAGAAGAGGGTACAAATGTGAATGCCCCAAGCCATTTAGGGGGAGGAATTGTGATAAAGGTTGGAGGAATTTGCCATCTTCTTCCTATTAAATCTCTCCTGTCATTGTCATACACAAGCTATCAAATGTACTAATGTTTGTGTTCATTGTTCTAGGCCCTAGAGTGTGCAGGAGAGGTGTTTGTGGAAGGGGCGAGTGTGTGCTGACTTCAACCCCTCCTTACTATGAGTGCAAATGCAAATACCCATTCCAGCCTCCAGACTGCAAACGATGTAAGGGACAAACAAACCACATCTTCAAAATAATATAAATAAAATAATATTTTGTTTATTTTTTATTTTATTTATTTTTTTGTTTCTGTGCAGATTCTGTGTGTGAGCCAAATCCATGCCGAAATGGTGGCCAGTGCATCCAGGATGGCAATGACTTTGACTGTCAGTGCCCGGAAGGGTTCCGAGGACGATTCTGTCATGTTGGTAAATACTGCACTCTCATATCACTGTCTTTATATGAATAGTAACTAAGTCCAAGTTTAGAAATTAGTACTTAAAAATAAACAGAAACTCCCCTAGTCTGGTATCCAAGACATGAGTCTATTCCCAGTCTCTTGGAATAGACTCATGCAGGCAACAAGACAATCTGGCAGACACTGACTGAGAGGCTGGTGTTAATTTAATCAGACATTGTGTTTTGCTAAAAGAAGTTTACAGAATGATTTGGAGAGGATTGACTTAAGTTGGTAGAAGAAAAGAACTGCCACAGTAGCTGATGAGAAGGTCAAGCACAGGGAAGCACAAGGGAAGCAGCCGGTGCACTAAATCACTGGTGTTATGCAATAATATATCCTGTAGATTATGAATAAATGATTAACTAGAACTGGAGTTGTAGTTAATTATTTAACTTATTCAAAATTGGAGATAAACTATAACTATGCTGACTTACCAGGATTTTGGGCCTTTCACATCTGGGTGGCTTCTGGACCGGCTGTTAAAATCCACTTATTCCCACTGAGTGACTTAGGTTAGACTATCAGCAGAGCTATTAATTATCATTCAAAGAACTATTTATCTCTGTTTATTCAACTGTCACCAAAAGGAGGGTGATTCAGTCCTGAGTGATCAACCATTCGCTGTACAAATCACAGCGACTGCAGGTTAAAACAACGATGTCTTTATTCTAATAATTCAGGATTACAGAAATCTAACATCTATGCAAAACACTATTCGCTATTAGAAAATAAACACAAGATAGACTAAATGACTAGTTTTGAAAGAAAGAGAAAAACAAGGTTCTAAGAGTCCTTATAAAGGGTTTTTAATGTCCGTTCGAAAAATAGCTGGAGATACAAATGCAATGATAAATACCATAAAAACAATGTAACTTTATTGAGCTTGTGAGATTACTTTACAAATGCATTAACAATGTCGCATTGTAGCACCTCAGTAATTCAACTAACTAGTTAGATAAAGGGGGGACGGGTGCTTTGATGCAAATTCAACAAGGCAGATCAAGTGTGTGAAGATCGGTGTGTGACTCATTGCATTTGGTCTTTGGCAATGTTCCCCAATACTGGGAATAGACTTAAGGGGGCGGTGAGACAGTCTGGCAGAGACTGACTGAGGGGCAGGTATTGATAGGCAGTTCGAGCAGTGAAACAACTTGTCGTGTTTTTGGGCAGCTGCAGGCAAAGCTGTTCACAAAATCAGCAGAGTGAATCAGGTTATTCCAGCACCAAAACTCAAAAATAAAAAAAAAGTACAAGGTCAAAGCTACGATTTGATGGTTTAGTTCAAACCATAATCATGAGTGATAATGTCAGAGACAAAGTCACAACTTGAATCATACTGTAAATCTGGAAATTCACAGACCCTCTAGTAGCATTCTGACTTTGTTTAAGGAAGTTGGCAAAAACATAAATTTCTTGCCACTTAAAAAATGCCACAAAATTTTTTTGCATGAGCTAAAAATGTTTCTACAAATTGCTGATTCAGTATAGGATGAATACAAATGCACCCTTCAACAGACTTTTGGAGAGTCTATAAAAGTAAGTAAGTAAATAAATGAACAGGAAAGGGGAAGAAACAGAAAATAAGATAAAGAAAAATCGGAATATAATCACAATATTTGAGATATAACAATAATAATAATACATTTTATTTGAAAGCGCCTTATCAAAACACCCAAGGACACTGTACAGGCAGATAAAACATTAAAAACAGGAAGCTAAATAGTACAAGCATAAAGGTGCCACAGAAAACAAAACAGCAGGAAGTAAATATGTACTTCTTTAAGACACTGGGTATATGTCTTAGGTCCGAACGACTGTTATGTGGGTGATGGAGAGACCTACCGGGGGAATGTGAGCGAAACAGAGGATGGCCATGACTGCCTCTACTGGAATTCCCACTTTATCCTGGAAAATGGAGCCGATCCCTTCAACTCATTTGACAACGAAGACGGCCTGGGGCCTCACAACCTCTGTCGGTCAGAGAAACATGACAGAAGTGTGTTCCAGCTACGGAAAACATGACAGACCAATGGTTACTTAGATTATATTTTCATCTCACAGAAACCCAGATGGGGAACCAAAGCCCTGGTGTTTTTTCAGAAGAGGGCGAAAACTGTTGTGGGACTATTGTGATGTGACTAAATGTGATCAACCGACAGGTCAGTGACTAAAGGTCTTAGTAGCTTCATAACTCTGACTTTAAGGTTAAAAATCTGTTATAAAACCATCTGTTTGAATTTTCAGGTGAACCTGCTACTGTTGAGCCACCACCATCTACTACTATAGCTCCACAGCCGACCACCAAGGCCCCACAGCCGTCCGAAGAGACTTCAGTTGTCCCTACAAACCCCACCATTGTCTCAACTCCGTCTCCCACTCCAAAACAGTTCGAAACTTGTGGCATACCTCAACCAAAAAAGGCCCTAACTCGAATCTTTGGGGGTCTGAAAGTCAGTCCTGGGGCAATTCCCTGGCAAGTTTCTTTGCAGCAGAAACCGAAGAACTCCAAGGTTCAATACAGTCACGTCTGTGGAGGAGTTCTGATTGAGAGCTGCTGGGTTCTGACCGCTGCCCACTGCATGTAAGTAACAATTTAGTTATTTAAGCCATTTATTTACACAAATGCAGTGTTTTGGGAGATCATAAAATATTTTTTTTAAATTAGGATCCTAAGTGGAAACAATTTAAAGCTATAAAACTACTGTATCAAACTATACTGTGTTCATCTTTGTGTGGACTAGGCTCAAATCAGATGAATTTAGATAACTGTCATTCTTTTCTTTTCTTTCATGTTCTTTTTCCACAGAGAACAAAACAAAGATATGCAGGTGGTGATGGGTACCCTGTCACTGGATACGACTGATCCATCTGCACAAGTCATTGAAGTTGAAAATGCAATTGTGCATGAAAACTACAGGGAGACTTCTGCTGCTGTTTTTAATGACATAGGTAAAACTAGGAGCTGTGTTTCTTCCATGATGAGCATCATTTTCAAAACAGCAATAATGTCCCATTTAAGCTCTGTTTAGCTTAAGATGAACACAAGTCCAAAACAGACATGAGCCATAATATTAAAGACTAGATTTCAATCTAATAAAACCAAGATTCAAAAGTAGCAGTTTGAAAACCTAATAAAAAGGCACTCTGTGAAGAGAGGTAAGGGCAATTATTTAAAGACCTGAGACTTCATCTTCTTGCTTCTGGTCGACTCGTCGATGCATGTCACTGCATTTCACTGTTTGGAAACATTTCTATACCAGGGCTAATGCATCTTTTTGTTTTTTCATGAGTTTGTGAAATAACAAATTTCCCGATAATTCATCCCGTTTACAGGCTCACTTTCCTGCACTGTGTCACTGAAGTATCCCACTATAAGCCAGAGAATCTGAATTTTTAATTTATACTATTTATTTTGGTGTGGTGGTGTATATTCTCAAAATGAGGACACTGCCTCAGACTTTATTAGTCAGTCTGCAATCAGTTTTCGCGCAACATATAATAAAACAGCTTTGGAAGATTAAAACAGAGTTAAAATCCAGTTATGCAAGCAGTCAGCTTTTCTTTCCCACATTTAGCTCATAAACAGAGAAAAAGCATTTCTTTTTTCTGCTCATTAACTTTGGTAAACATGCCGACAAAAAGTTTGAAGACAGCAAGTACTGACTAGTGAGTTTGGCACGTGTTTTAGTTTTATAGACAGCTGAAAGAGAGTGCATTTTTTCGCATGATAAATTTTAATGGCCATGATCCTCTTTGTAGTTGAGTTTTTGACTCCTTGCTTAACCCTAACTTACAATTATTAAACTGTTTGGGAACATTTCTAATATGATATAAATAGTTGAATTTAAAATTTAAGTAATAACTTGTATACTGCACAAATCTAACTTAGCTTTCAGTTTAAAATTTTAAACATTAATTGGATTTTTTTTTTATTTTTTTTTTTAGCTTTGTTAAGGCTAAAGGGGACAGATGGATTTTGCGCGAATGAGACCCAGTATGTAAAAACTGCTTGTCTACCAAGTGGCCAACTCCCCGATGGGATGGAGTGCACCATTTCTGGATGGGGAGCCACTGAGGACTGTATGTATGCAAGCTTATTACATAACGTGGTCCACTGTTTACTACAACATTTAATTTGTTATCTTTTGTGCTGATGTTTGATCAATTAAATCTGCAGCAGAGTATGGCACCAATCACCTGTTGGAGGCCAATGTTCTACTTATTAATCAGGCAAAGTGCTCTGAGCCCGAAATTTATGGTAAGGTCCTGGATAATAGCATGTTCTGTGCTGGACATCTACAAGGGGGAGTTGATTCCTGCCAGGTGAGTAATCTTATCACTTTAGTCAAAAACAGCATTTTTTTGTGTTTTATTTTTTTCAATTTTGCTTTCTTTTTTTTTATTAAGGATTATTGTGTTCTCTTTTATTCTAATTTCTATAAATCTCTTGTTTCAGGGGGATTCTGGAGGTCCACTGACTTGCAAGGAGAATAACACCAGTGTTGTTTATGGTGTGGTGAGCTGGGGAGACCAGTGCGGAAAGAAAAACAAACCAGGAGTTTATGCAAGAGTCACTAATTTCCTTGATTGGATCAAGGCAAAGACTCAAGCATTTCCTTAGATAACCTTAGGATAGTTGTGATGAACCTGCCTGTATGTTTCTGTTATTTCTTACCTGCCATGATTTAACATAGCTAAAAGAAAGACCTAATCTCCTCCAAACATTTTTCTCTTATATTTTCTCTCGATAATGTAAAGTTACACCCCAGTGTTCCCTCGTGGATAAAGTGCCAGGCTCCTGCTTCTGTTTCCTATCCTTTCATTTTTGAACATGTAAGGTAAAATAAATTCAAATAATTGACCAGAGATTTGTTGTGGACTGTTTTCCTCTGATTGGTTGTTTATTTGATCTACAGACCAAGCACTAAAACATGTCAATTTTGTTGTTTTCTTTTTTTATGCATCTAAAAAACAAAAAAAAACTCCCTTCATTTTAAGTCTATACACAAAGTAATAACTAACATGCATATTTATTGAGTCTACAGAAACTGTATTAGTTATAAGCATAAGCTTTAACCTGACATGGGAATTATCTTTTAATTACTTTGATTCTATGATATGTTTAAACAATGAAAGCTATTAAAGAAAATACCGTGCATATTTTTTTCTATATTATATACTGTAGTTCTTGGAGAGATTTTTGGGGGGGAAAATAAAAATTAGTATCAGTGAAGGAAAATCTCTTTCCTGCCATTTTTGTTTTAATCTATTGAATTAGAACATTTGACTTTGATTTAGAATTTCAAAAATAAAAGTAGAATAAGATTATGTATCTTGTTTAAGCTGCTTGGATTTTCTGGGACATTTTATTTACCGGTAGTTATCCAGGACTTTCTGTGTGTTTAGATCTGCCACAGACACTAATTTCTTACAGCCTCTCCAGAATGAGAAACACCATGAACACCTCCACCATGTACAGTGTGAGTTTTTATCTCTGAAACAGCAGAAATTCATTTCTTCTTTTTATAATTGCATAAACTAAACAAACAGAAAGAAATTACAATTTTATTACATTATTTAATTTGGCAACCCAATGATCCCTGCTAGATAAACAGATCCACAGATATCAATACTCAGTTATTTAAAAACTGGCTTTACAATTCCATAAGGTAGAAATATGACATGATACAGGTGCCGCTCTTAAAAATGTAAAAGACAAGAAAACCTACCATTAAAATCATGCAGATTTAAGTCAGTCTTTACAGTTTAGGAAATGACTAGGTTTTCTAAACATGCCCATACCTACAGTCAGAACACTCAGCATGGGTTTCCCTTAGTCATAAAATGTTTTTTCTGACCATGAACTTGTTAAAATCCTGGGTAATCTTAGTCCTCATTTATCCAAATTTCTGAAATTGTGAGAATAAATGGAGTTTTAACACAGTTAACTGTTGATGTAATTCGATTTTGCCTGGTGAGCCTCTTGCTGTAAGGCCACTGACATCTGAGACTGAAGGCATGCTTTTCCTCTGTGGACTGATGAACTGGGAACACAGTTACACAATGAACTAGTTTATAGGTGAGTAGTTTATTCATGATCCATCTGGTCTCTGCAATGCACCACAACAAGGTGAACAAATAAGAGCTGGAGAGCTTCAACGGTGGAATAGAGTTTACCACAGGGCCCTGAAGTAGGGCATTCCTACTCTTAACACTGAGTGTTAGCCCTTAACACTTATATTTTACATTTTGAGGGGTTCAGTCGAATAGATAAACAAGTTATTAATAATAATTTATTGAAGCATCTGAGAAGTGTGGTATGCATTTATATTGAAAGCCAACTGATGCCCCTAATAAGACAAGAGTAATTAATGTATGTGATTTAATGTCAGTCATTGCATCATTTCTATTAGGTCATAAGTACTTGTAAAAACAAAACAAAACCATAAGTTAAAAATACATCATGACCAAGGAAGACATACAGGTCAATGATTAAGCTGTGGGGACTCAGGAAAACTCCGGGGGAGCTGCAGAGATCCACCACTCAAGTGGGATAATCTCTTGTCAAGACACTCGAAAACATCATACTGTGATACTTTTCTTCTTCAGGGACAAGGAAGCTGGTCAGAGTTGATGGGATGATTGACGGAGCTAATGCAGCTGCATTAGAGATGCTGGAAGAACACCTGTTTGAGTTCAAGGTTTAATGTTACGGTACTTTATTTATACCCATGGGTAAATTTGTTTTGCAGGGGTTGAGCACATATACATACTAGAGTACACTGTGCAAATACATGTCCAAAGCCTATCACATTCAATCAGTTCAAAGCGCTGAAGGCTTCACAATTCAAAGTAAAACAGGAGACATGAGGGGTCCGGCTCAAGAAAAAAAAATGCATAAAATAAGACAGATTAAAATACACAGATGAAGTTGACATACAGTACTAGGTTCTGGTCAATATTTCTATAGAACAAATAGTCGTTTCATCAAATCCATGAAGGTTGCAAAAGACTTCAAAGTGGGACAAAGGTTCACCATGCAGCATGATGATTCACCGTGCAGTTAGAGATATAATGGGATAACTTAGATCCAACAATAAAACTCTGCAGCTTTAACTTTTGTAAAAATTTATTTAATACCGTTTCGACTTGGGGAATTTCAACACAAGTGCAAAATTCTCAGATTTTCTGAATACAATGCAATTATGAATTTATTTGTGTTGGTCCATTACATAAAACTGCAATAAATACTCTTTAGTTTTTTTTTAAATAATACAATAACATATATAAAACCGTAGTGGGTGTGGATACTTTCTCAAGGCACCAGTAAATAGGACAGTGACAAGAAAGGTTGGACTTGCACAGTATACTCCAAGCATGTTCATCTTCAATCAAAAGTCCCATAACTACTCAATAAAAGGATTGTAATAATATAAGAGTTATACATAATTATGGTAAGGTAAAATAGCCTATACTCTACCTTCTAAAAAACACTGAGATAGATAGATCAATTTTATCCATGCAAATATTTCTTTCTATGCAGTTTTACAGGCAACAGCTAAACTGAATAATAAACACATATTTTTTTATTTTGTAGATATTCCCGGTTTCAGAGCTGTCCTGCATTCATTTTTCATTTTCCTCCTAATTCCAGGGATCCTTAATGCTAAACAAAGTGAGTGGCTGCCTGTTGATCCCATTCATATCAATGCACGGGTTAAACATGGGGTAAAGAGGCTCTGTGCACTGCATACGGAAAGTGTGAAGCAGAGTCATTGCATCAGCATCATAGAATGACAGCTCCCCCGTCTGGATATTAGCCAGTATTCCCAGCTTCCTGACTCTCTTTGCTACTGAAAGCTGCTTCTCTTGTGTGTCATGACAAGCCAGGTACTGTCCATCTCCATGGTAGATGCACCAGGATGCGTTGTTCACCTTCAGGCTGGAGGAATTCTGAGGAGGAGGTTTTATTTCAGTGACCAAACCTGTGGTGACACCAATCATCCAGAAAGGTTTCTCCTGGACAATCACCTCCCAGTAATGCTGGCCATCAGTAAAGCTCTCCTGAGCTAAAACACTGTACTGGGAGTCATACGGCTCAGGGGTCAATCCATCACCAACAGGATGGCATCTCCAGAAAACTTGTTTTTTATCCGGAGATATTTCCAGCTTCGGATGGGCTGTTTTTGGATCTAAAGCAGGTGAACTTAGATCTGCAGTAAAAAGAAAAAAAAAGAACTACAGTAAACACTCCATCAAATAGTAGATCATTTGTTTATTTGATGATTTGTTCAGAAAAATTTGAATTAAACACTGACATGACCACATTCGTGGAAGGTGTTGTGAAAGAGCTAGTGAGAGGTCATCAACGAGCCTCTCAACTGTTTTTAGCTTTTCATGGTCACAAAGATCCCTTTTTATTGGCTGCATGGGAGGAAAATCCAAAGGATCACTGGGGAAAAATATATATCAAAAGATGATCAAATGAATAAAGATAAACATTAAACCCTAAATGCACCAAAAAGTACAGATTTCATGGAATGTATAACGACATACTCACCAAAGATTCTGTGAACTTGCTTGCTGTTAAAAAAATTAATACAACATGGGTTTTTATAAATCTTACTTTTAGGGCCTTTAACAAAATGAAGCAGAAATAAAGACGAGGAAGTTCACAAAAAAATAAAATAAAGGAATGTGCAAATAAAAACGTCCATTATGTATGTTGCTTATCACAGTATCTCTGCTTAGATTAAACACATTTTCTGTCAGAAATTTAGATCCATTGTCAGGGCCATTATTGTCATTATTTTGACCACTCTCTTTTAAGAGAACAAAAATACTCTGACAAATAGGGGGAGATTTCTGGCAAGATTGCTCCTTTTAAGAATCATTTTAATATCACCCAACTTTATCTTCTCTTAATGTCACTTTGGGACTATTTTCAGTTTAAAACAACCATGTCTGCCAATATCAGCTATTTTAAAATGAGGTGATGTTAAAGATTTTGATATAAGTGCTGCTTTAAAACAGCCCCATGTTACAGTATAGGCCCCACTATGCTTGCCAGTTAAAGGGAACAATTACTCATTTTTAAAACTTTTCCAGACAAGGCACTTGGCTTGTCCACTGGGTGTTCAAACAAAACTTATTTAAAAAAGATAAACTAGGCTAAAAGGGAAGACTTCAGGTGAGAGACATATTTTAAGATTACTATAATATACCATGTGGGTTTATGTACTTACCTGAAGGAACTGCAGGTCATTTGTTTCCTGCAGAAGTGCTTTATGAGAGCCTCTTAATCTGTCTATCTCTTTAATCTGAGTTTCCGTGATGCCCCTCTGGGCCTCGAGCCAGTCCGTCATGTACGTCTCCTCTGCGTCTATAATCTGCATCATCAGACGTTCATCAGCATCCAAAACCACACGGATTCTGCTGTACTTGTCTGTGATTTTCTCTCTGAAATCTGCAGCGGCTTTCTGGAAAATAATTAAAATCTTATAAACTCAAGGATTTGTGCATGAGAAAAGACGCGTGTATCATAAGTTCACAATGACGGTACCACAGTTTGTGTATATAGCGACTCCAAGTCCTGAATGGTGTGCTCTGCTTCCTCTCTCCTCTTCAGTAATTGGGTCATATTATTCACTAACACACTCTGAAGACAAAATAAAACATAAGTAATAAGTGTTTTACTTGTGGGGCTTTAAAAATAATGCTGTCATGTACTTTAAAAGATATTTTCCCATGTGCACTCATGTGAAAAATGCTTACAGTATATAGTTTTCAAATATATCGTTCCATATATTATACTAAGGTGGCAACATCGAATCTGGTGTTTGTTTGTTTTTTTTATGCAAACTCCATGGAAAAAGATCCTAGACAAGTATACTGGCAGTAGTCTCAATTTACTAAGTAGTTCTCAAACATTTTATAATTGCTTGTTTTTAATTGATGCTATTATTTATTTGACATGTTGTTTTAGAGATTTGTGAACTTAAACTAGCCGGCCAGCAGGTGGATAATATGGAGTAACAGGCCAATATAATGGCAGTGTCTGAAATTATCAAATTGTGTAGGGATTATTTTGCCAAACTGGATTTGCTTCAGTGACCGCCAGAGGTTGATAATCCAGGTCCAGAAAGTAAAATGCCTGTTAGGAGATTAGTTCCAACCATTTGCAATTTTTAGCCCCACAATGCAGACTTATCACCTGGTTAAGTGAAAGGATGGAGGAAAACAAGGAAGCGTTTTTACTTTTTGGACCTGGGTTATCCACCTCTGGAACGCCATGATAGGTCTGAATTGTTAAGGCAGTAAGGAAGAGGGAAATTAGCCCGTATGCTTCCTACATAGGGTCAATCCAAATACCACAGATTGTGGCCCCTACCTCTCTTTCCTAGATCCTTTTCCTAGCTCCTATCCTTTCACTGGGTCAACAGTAAGGACATTATGCAGTTAGAAAACTGCTGTTCAGACTGCTGTGCTTAATCTTCCAGAAATTAACAACAATAAACAAAAGTCTCTGTAAAGTTCTCGATCATAACTTCCAAAACATACGAAGGTTTGAACGTTTGCTTGTATCACACGTCACAAAATATTGCATTGAACTCTGTGAGGTGGGCAGTGCCTGTACTTCCTGTTACACGAAGGACTATGAGCAACCATATAGCTCTTAACGATGGTCCGGTATGTTAGGAGGTCCTTAGTTTCTTCCCTACTGCCATCACTATCTGGATAGCACTTATTATGGAGACTGCGGGTGCACTTCCACCAAGGCTTACAGTTTATGCTTGACGATTGGAGGTTTTTGGATTGTGCTCTGCTCCCTGACTGGCGCTGAGAAGCAATAAGGAATCCCACAATCCTTTGCTTGAATGATGTGGAAATATAGACTCCCTCACAGAAATTAACAAAAATACAAAAATCCTTCCCCTGTACTGATCGTGACACATGCAAATGTTCCCTCTTTAATATGTTAACCCTAACCCTGTGGAATGAATTGAATGATGATTTAAAGTTATGTCCTTTCTTGGTGAATTTTAAAAGGGATTTAAAATGTAAAATGATAAAATCCTATGTTATGTAGATTTGAATATTTATATACGCAGTAAAGAACTTGGTAGGTTGTAAAGGTTGTAAGAATAAAACAGGGTAGGCAATAATAAGCTTTGCTTCAGCCTATTCCTTTTTTTGGTAAATTGTTGGTTTTGTTTTGTTTTGATATTGTTGTTTAATGTTGGATTATTTGCTAAAAAAAAATAAAGTGAAAGTGAAGTGTGATGGAGAACTGTCAATTGCTATATTTGTATATTTTGCTATTATTTTCTTTGTATTGCTGTATTTGCCTTGCATCATCCATTAGGGTAATGATGTCTGGCACAGCTGTCTGGACTTCCTTTCCTATCCACGGTATTGTTGTGTTGACCCCAGCAGGTAAAGTAAGAGGAGATACAGTTGGAGGATTTCAGTAGCAGTCGATGCCTCACATGCAAACATTCCAACAACATCCTCACATGCATCTATAGTGATCACTGTGTATTAAATCATTCTTGAAATAATTTCTTGTTATAAAGACAATAAATATGTTACGATAGCAGAAGCAACAAATGTTAAATGTCACCCTTAAGTCGACACTGGCTTCATGAAGTTGTGCTGCCTTGTGGTCCTTGTGGGCCCCAACCAGAACACATAAACAGCACACAGGGATCCTCTCCTCCATACAAAAGAGCTTCAGCTCATCCCGGTGCTCCCTGCACTTCAGCGACAGCACATCCTTGGTAACATCCACCAGTGTGTGCTCCCTTAAAGCAGATCTTTGTTGGTGCAGCTGGGCATGGGCCTCGCACAGTGAAGCGTCACAGGTCAAACAGGTCCTTATGGCCACAGACGGCTTCTCTATGCAATGATCACACTGGATAGGTGAGGAAGGTTCTGCCTCAGCTCCTGCTTTTTGTTGATTTTCAGTATAGTCCTTCACTTTTTGCTGCAGTCCTGCGTTTATCTCCAGAGTGAGGTCAGAAGGGAGGAATATCTGACACTCTGGACAAAAGAAAGGACCGTTGGTTGACTCATCTGTTTCCCAGACAGCTTGGATGCAGGTGAGGCAGAAATCGTGTCCACACTGAAGTGTCACAGGTTCTGTGAAGAAATCTTGGCAGACCGGACATTTCAAAGGTTCGCTAACAGTCCCCATGGTGCTGCTTTTGCCTCTCATGGCAAACTGCTGAGCTCAGAGCTCCTGAACCTGCAGATCATCAATGTTTCATGAGTGTACAAACCACTAAAGAGCCCCATGGTGTCAGGTAACTAAAGATGGGGTGATATCAGTAACTGATCTACTCCCGGGAGATATACATCTGCATTTCAAAACGCAGAAATTAAATACTATGGGACTAATTAAGTTTAATGTTGTTTGTAATATATTTTATTGCTGTAGTCTTTTATTGTAGAGGAAGATCTTTGCTTCCAATGGCTGTGCTATTAGTTTGCTTGGATATCTCATGATAATAAAAATGAAACTTAAGCTAATAAATAGGTTTCCAATCCTTTTCATGAAGATCATAATAATCCAGGTCATTTTATGATTTCTTTTTCTTATGTTTTCTTTTTCAGGCTAGATTGGTTTTCCAAAGAATGAATGTCAATTAATTTTAAAAACACAATTTGACAACACTATCAACTGCAATCGTGTTGCAATTCAATTGTGCTGCAATTCAATCTGGATATTTAAAAACTCTTATAATCAGAATTGTTGTTTAAGCCATAGTGCACAAGTTTGAAGAGGGTTCAGGCTTTGATAAAAACATTCCAAGTGCTTTAGCTACAAAAGAAAAAGTCTGTGGCGTCAGAAAATCCTGGAGGCAAACTCAATGACATTCAAGTCCAATTATTCAAAAGCTGGGTGTGCCCAAGTTTCTGTTACACTTGGATGAAAAGAGAATGGGTGACATTTTTCAGAGCAATCACAACTTTAGTATTGTTTAGCTCAGTTGCTGTTCCTGTTTCTGCTGTGCTTGTGTTGGCCCCGCCCCTTCTTCCTTTTATCATAATATTCTCAGATTTTAGACTTTTTAATTCAGGATATACCTCAAGTTTAAAACATTTGATTGCAGGATATTGATTGATTGACTTTATTGATCTAACAGTGGAGAAATGTAATCATTACATCAGCTCAAATAGTGAAAGGAGAAGAATGTGCCAAAGGAAGAAAAAGTTTCATAGGATATATACAGTATAGATTGTGCATCCACATGTGACAGCTTTTTTTTTTTTTTTTTTTTTTTTTTTTTTTTTTTTTACAGGATTATTATACAGTGTTATTGCACAGGGTGTTTACATGGGTGTTTATATAGATGGATATTTATATTTATATATATGGTTATTGCACTGGGTGTCAAATATAGAGAAACAGGTTATTGCACAGGGAATCAAATAGTAATTGCACATTCTGTATTGCACAAGTTAAAAGATATTCCATCTGTTTTTTTGAAAAAACAAAAAACAACTACCACTATATAGTGATGCAACTAGATCTGTCTCATGCTTTGCTTGAGCTGCCAGGAGAGCCTAACCTTTTATTGGAAAAGTTAAAATTTTTGCTAACTTGGATATAAACACTACTTTGTAGCAAACAAGGCAAAATCATGAGGTCAAATTTGGTTCGAAGGGTCTGCAAGCTCTACCTTTGTCTTAAAGCTGAGTATAACTGCTATATAGAATATTATGAATAATATTGCAATAAAATTGCCTGCTATGTGCAATATGGTACCTGCTGTAAATTAAGTAAGAAAATACTTATCAACTTAAGTTAAATACTCAAAAGGCTAAGTAAAAAGGTTAAAGGGGTAATTTAAAAAGTTTGTTGGTTAAATTTAAAAATATAATATCTAAGCTCCTGTATCAGTATTTATGTTTTGAGAGTTATGTTGAAAAAAAAAAAGGAAAAAATGTGTTTCGTTTTGTTAGTGTTTGTTAATAATTTCCTATAGAAGCACTCTTCTGATTTTTATTTATTTTTTTTTTACCATTAAGTGACTATTTTTGTTAACTATATTGACACCTTGATTTTGGCCATAAACTTCTTTTTTTTATAATGTTAAAAAAGTAATAAGGTCTTGTTCTGTCCTCAAATAACAGAAGAAGAAAAATAAATTTTTATGTCAAGATTTTTCACTGAGTGCCCTATAATGGGTTAATAATTCTAGTTAAATTACATTTTTATTTAATCTGACTAAATTAAAATTATTGCTAAAATTTTATAAAACTATTTCTTTTCAATGACTTTCTTTATGACCTTTTTCTTAATTAAGGGTGATTTGAAACGTAAGCTTCGAGCTTTTTTTTTTTATAGCTGGTTATATTAAATGGTAATATTATATATTACTTAAATTCACTTTTTTTATATTTAGCTCCTCTGATTGTAATGGCTCGTATTAACAGACGCCATCCTATAACTTTAATTTCAGTGTAGTAAAAACGTACTTTTCTGACTTTGTATGTGAACGTAGCAGGATTTCTGACGTAAACAGCTTACGAATAGCTTACTTTCCACTCCTCTTCCCAAACAACGTGGGCTGTGGATGTGGCAGAAGACAGACAGACAGCCTGCCTGCCTGACTACGTGTCCCCTCTTTGCAGACCACTGTCGTGTCGGTTTGTTTACTAACCCTTTGCTCTGTCAGGTAAAAGCTCTTTATGCTTAAAAATATAATGTTCTTCTGTTGTAAAATGTCTCCAAACGGCTGCTAACTGTGGCTAAAGCTAGCTAATATTAGCTAGCTTCAAGTTCGCATTGACATTAGCTGTATTTTTAAACGGCAGTTCAGTCATATTTATCAGAGTCTGAATGAATAATATAGTTGAAGGTTTATTTGTATAAACATCCACTGTAGTGCTGGGTATTTCTGTTTGATAGCTCAGTGTTTACAGCACCTTCTCTGGGTTAGTGTGTCAACTTCTGATAACAACGTTAACATCATGGAGAGGAAGGCGAACTTAGGAGGAAGCAGAACTTAATGAAGCTTATTGTTTGTTTTCTACTAGCGTTAGACTTGATTTTAACATTTTTTGTTTATTGGATGCATAGATCGACTTCTCTGCAGCCAATATCCGGATAAAAATGCAGCTTATCTCATTGCATTGGAAAAATGTCTTAAATTAAGAGTAGGTAAATGAGATAGTTTGCCAATGGAATGAGCATTTTTACTCATAAAATTAGATAATATGCACTTCAAATGAAACAATGCAATTGTGTTTTCTTATTTTAAGTGTAAATTGTCTTGTTCCATTGGCAAAGTGTCTCTTTTACCTCCTCAATCCAAGAACAAATGTACTTTTTTTTTTAAAGAAATAAAATACTTATGTAGATTTGCATGTTTTCCAGTGTGGAGGTTGTTCCCCTGTCACTGTAACCCCACATTATTGATTTGTGTGATCATGCTTGCAGGTCTTCAGGAGTTGGCGACATGTTTGCCAGGCTGGCTCTGTGCTCTCGCCTGCCATCCAGGATCCGGCAGTCCAACCTCTGTCCAGTGTCAGTCAGAAAGTATTCCCAGGCTAAATGTAAGTTGATGGACAGGTGCCAGAAACAGACATCTTCCAACCCAGAGTTCTGTGCAGTCTGATGTAGTATGAAATTCTACTGCAATATTAAGGTCACTTTATTGTTGTTAACCTATCCATTCATTCCTGCATCTGTTATTTCTGAAGGTTTCATCTTTACAGCCTTACCTATACTTACATACATATATGCCATATATTCCTATGTACACATGCATAATTCTGATATTTTGAAATATTGTCTGATTGCTCTACCGTCCATCCATCCATCCATCCCTCAATTCATCCATCCATCTTCTTCCTCTTATCTGGGGTCAGGTCGCTGGGGTAGTAACTTCAATAGGGAGTCCCAGATGTCCCTCTCCCCAGCCACTTGGGCCAGCTCCTCCGGGGGAATCCCAAGGCGCTCCCAGGCCAGCCGAGAAACATAGTCCTTCCAGCGTGTACTGGGTCTCCCCCTGGGCCTCCTCTCGGTGGGACGTGCACCTCACCAGGGACACGTCCAGGAGGCATTCTAATCAGATGCCCGAGCCACCTCAGCAGTGGCTCTACTCTGAGTCCTCCCCGGATGCTCCTCACCCAACCTCTAAGGGAGAGCCCAGAAAGACTACGGAGAAAACTCATTTCAGCCGCTTGTATCCAGGATCCCCTTAGAGATAGGGTGAGGAGCTCAGTCATCCGGGGAGGACTCAGAGTAAAGCCGCTGCTAATCCACATCGAGAGGAGCCAGTTGAGGTGGCTTGGGCATCCAATTAGGATGCCTCCTGGACGTGAGGTGTTCCAGGCACGTCCTAGGACACGCTGGAGGGACTATGTTTCTCTTCTGGCCTGGGAGCGCCTTGGGATTCCCCTGGAGGAGCTGGTCCAAATGGCTGGGGAGAGGGACGTCTGGGCCTCCCTACTGAAGCTGCTACCCCAGTGACTCGACCCGGATAAGCAGAAGAAGATGGATGGGTGGATGGATGGATGTATCCAGGTTCTCATTCTTACTCTACCGACGAACGCAAAAGAAAGTCTAAATAACTTCATATCAGATTGACATGTCTTACTGGAAAACCTGTGACAGGTGCCAACCATATTAAGACATTGTGAAGATTTTAAGAGTTCTTTTTTCTAGAAATGTGCATCTTGAAAATGGAGTTTGTAACCATCACAGCAGCACAGAGTAGCTAGGTCAGTCGAATATGTAAAATGTGTATCATTGAAATTACACTGTTTTGTTCATCAAAGAACTGCAGGCATGTCTCATATTAAAGTCAGCTAGTTGTTTTGTGATTCTTTGTTAAAGATGTAAAAAAACAGCTGTATAAATACAGGGAGTAATATAGGGATGTATCGGAATTAGCAACAGTTTTGTTTTTTTATGTATTGGTATCAGTCCTAGGATTAAACACAGACTAATATTAACATCTGATGTTTATCTCCATCTTGTTTTCTGGATGTGAGAGATAATGATGTAGGGTGGGATTGAGGGGTGTTTAACTGAAGCCTTGAAGCAAAGTAATTCATGTAAACATAAATATTGCTGCATTAGTAAAGCAGTGAGGTCTGACTGGAACTTGCTCTCAGAAAGGGTAGCTACAGTTTTACAAGCTAGATAGATTTCTATCCCTATGTAATGATCGCACAGACTAAACGTCTTGTGTAGCAGTCTGCTAGGAAAATGTATTAAAATTTATTCAAGGATAAAAATCAAGATACGGAGCTGTTAAGTAATTCTCTTCATTTCAGTCATCTAATTGTTTGTTCTGATTCCTAGATATCAGCATCAGCCATGAAGCTCCCCACATTGCTTTACTTTTCATGCTAGAATTTAAACACATTAAAAATGTTCCATTATACTGCTTATCTTTTAAGTGTTGAAATGTGTCTATCACTCCCTGCAGTTTTGCTCCCACGTCCCCATGGGAAATCGTTTGCTCACCGCA